CTGTGTCTCAGGGCTCTCTGCTCCAGCAGGTACCGACCAAAGCCCCTCTGCACAGTCCCTTTCCAGGGCAGCGAGGGCTCTCCCCTCCCCTGGCGTGCCCACCCTGCCAGGCTGTGCCCTGGCCCGCAGATGACAAAGTGCCCTTTGGTTAATTGAGGAACGGATCGCCTGCAGTTAAAAGTTCTGATTTATATGACTATGGCTCTAACTGCTCAATAACATGGGCCCGTAATCTACTTTCATTTCAAACAGAAGGGTGATTTATGGGGCAGCATGCCGCTTTAGCTCAGAAATGAGGTGTTCAACATATGCTCTGTTGACATAAATTTGGAATTTATCGCTCCTGTCAAAACTGCCTGTTGGACAAAGGTGCGCATTAAGGCAATAAATGGCTTGGAATAGTTTTCTGTCAAATTTCCTAACCATTGTATTCACTCTGTTTGAGGGGGAAAATACACACTTAAAAGTAATCAAATGGCCAGGAGCCATGCGTCTCGTTCAGCATGGAGGAAGGGGAGGGGAGGGGCGGGGGTCTCCTCCGCTTCCAAAAAGGGGTGGTGAGGAGGGGCTGGGGTACGAGAAGGCTGCTTTAGGCAGGGTTTAAGCAGGCAGAGCAGAGCAGAGATTTGCCTGTGGTGGCAGTGGGACACTGCAGTGCTCTTTGGGTACCAGGGCTGCCCCCACACCTCAGGATGCTCCATCTCTATGTACCCCGAGATGCTCTGCCAGTCCCCTGCATCCCTCAGGAGTGGCCAGTGGTGTTTGCCACCGGCCCTGGCCTTTTCACACAAAGCACCCTGTGGGGAAAACTCGTAATTTTTACACCACGCAGTCTCGCTGGAGTCACCATCCCTTTGAAGTGCTTTTTGTGGGGCATTTACAGGCCTTTTTAATTACCGGCAGCTTGCGAGGGGCCACCTCTGGCCCGGCTTTTGTTTGCCGGGGCTGGGAGGGGAGGGTGTGTCCCTGGGTTCCCATTCCGCCTGCAGAGCCCAGCCCTCCTCTGGGATGGCTCGGGAAGGTCGGATCCAGCCCTGGGACTCTGTGCCATGGGCACSCTTGGTGTCCTGGGCATCCTCATCACCTGGGCCATCCTCGCTGTGGGAGCATCCCCCAATGACATCTCACAACCTGGAGCCTTTGAGTGGCTTCATTTCCATGGCTTCGAGTGGGTCATTGAGTGGGAACTGGAGGAAAACCCTCTTTTTGCAAAAAAAGGCACTTTTCCCGCTTGCTCTCCATCCCATGGGCACCTGCTCAGTTGATGAGCTTGTGGGGAGCTTGGAGGAGAAAGCAGCACCGTTTCAGCCTCAGATTGGAATAATAAAGAAGGGTTTATCTTTTGGCACAGAGTTTGGGCAGCACTGGGATGTGTTTTAATGCCGTTCACTCCCCCACCCCCTCTTTCTGGAGGCACAACTTCAGAAGCACATATTGATCTTTCCCCTCAGATCTTAACAGCCCGAGCAGCCATAATACCTTGCTTACATCTGCCAGGTTTTTGTGCAGTTTTGCAACATCTCCTTAATCCGGCGAGCAGAAATAGAACATTTCAATCATATTTCGCTGCCGGGAAATGGAGCAGATAAAGCGCTTTCAGACCTTGTTGAAAGGGACCGTGCAAGATGGCGAGTGATAAGAGCGTCCTGGAGGCAGGCGCTCAGCGGAAAACTTTTTGTTGTCGCTGAAATTTGTTGATAGAGATATCGCAAGTAAATTACTCATTGAGCACCCCGGTGCCCCGTGAAACAATGAGGGGAGGATGTGAACTGGGGACATCGCAGGTGCCAGTGAGGATTTCCAGGGTGCCCTGGCACCAGCAGTGCTGGAGATCTCCTCATTCCCTTCTTTCCCCACTCTGCCCTGGAAGGTGGGAGAAGAGGTCGTGTTTGCCATAAAGTTTGGGAGATGCAGAGGAAGGAAATTTGGACTTCTGTTTCTCTGTTCCTTGATACTCACTTAAAAAAAAACCAAACCCAAACTTCCATGTTTTACTTGAACTAATTAACCAGTTAGGCTGTAATTCAGGGAAAGGGCATTCTGGCCTCAGAAGGGGCAGTGCAGACCCTGAGCTTGCTCTGCTCTTCCTGACAATATGGTTTGAACCCAGTGTTAAGTGCAGGAGCGAATGCAGCCCGAGCCAGGGAGTGTGACAGGCATGTCCCAAATTAAAAATGCAAAATGAGAAGGTTGTCACTTATTGAGCTGCTCGTTGGCAGCGGAGCCCTGTCAGGAGGCTGGTGTTTTATTTATTTTTGCAAGGAGGATAAATCCTTTGGATTGTAAACCTTCTTGGCCTGAATTCGTGCATGACTCCTAATCCTCCGCTATGACACAGTGAATTCAGGACAAGCCTGATTAATAATTACATTATACAGCAAAGTTGAGAATTGAAACCARCTCCTGCTCCTTTCGTCTCCCTTCTGCTCTGCAGAGCAACCCTAAACCCTAAACCCTGAACATCACGGGGTCTGCTCCTGCTCCGACCCTTCCCGTGCTGCTGTTCAGGGTCTGCAGGGTGGGCTGCAGGGCTGGGTTAGGGTAGGGTTAGGGTTGGGTTTAGGGTTTAGGGTTAGGGTTTAGGGTTTAGGGTTAGGGTTTAGGGTTTAGGGTTTAGGGTTAGGGTTAGGGGTTAGGGTTAGGAGTTAGGGTTTGGGGTTAGGGTTTAGGGTTAGGGTTAGGGTTTAGCATTAGGGTTTAGGGTTTAGGATTAGGGTTTAGGGTTAGGGTTTAGGGTTAGGGTACCAGCCCCTGAGCCCCATGGGGCAGGGATGGCCTGGGGCTCTTGACTCTCTGCAGAAGTTTGGGTTGTTCTTGTTTAGAGTCAGAGCAGCAGCAGCTTTGCACCAATTAAACCTACACCTCAGGGGAGGTAACGCACGCCGTTTTTTGGAGCACAACAGTTGCATGATCCCCACAATCCTGCACAGCTGGGGCTGAGCTCTCCCATGAGAACGTCCACATCCAGCCCTGGACAGGACCAGTCCTGTTTTGTCTTTGGCAACAATGCAAATGAAATGCTCCGGTCCTGCTGCGGAGAGATGATAAATGGTGGCTGCAATCAGAGGTCGGCACACACGATGGGCTGTGTTACTCCTCAACACACAAAAACTTCTCTGTTTACACCATCCATGGTGAAACTTTGCACGTCCCGAGTCCTCCCCAGCCTCAGGTCTGAGGGGTTCACAGTGACTGAGAGCTGGCAGGCAGCAGCCCATGCATTGGGGGCTCAGGCTGCCTGTCAGGCACTGACCCAGGTGGGTGTGCAAAGGATCTGTTTGTCACCAGTGGAGAGGGTGAAATAAAGCACTGAGCCCCCATTGCAGGCGTTGTGTCCCTCCATGTGCCCTTAGCAGCAGGGGCTGTCAGGGTGCATCTCTGCATTTCTGAGCAGTGACTGATCCCAAAGGGGAGGGAAGATGGGCCTGGAGAGGCTGCCAGGGACAGCAGCAATGCCTTGGGGTGAGATGGGACTGGATGGGGTTCATTGCTTGTTGTAGACTCGGACAGTGCTCCTTTRACACTGATTGTTAATGGTCACTGCTTGGTCCAGAGCTCCAAGGATGGAGCACCAGTGTGCTCACAGCAAAGAGTGGGCAGTGATGGAGAGTCTGGACACTGTGGCACCACTGCTGGGGTCGTGCTGTGTCCCCCATTGCTGGGGTTGTGCTGTGTCTCCCATTGCTGGGGTTGTGCTGTATCCCCCATTTCACCCATTTCTGGGGTTGTGCTGTGCTGGTGCCCTGGCACAGGGCCCCTCCTGTCCCGTGGCTGTGAGATGCTCAGCCCCAGCACACTTTGGGGTGGGCAGTGTTGTGCTCAGAGGTTGTGCAATGCTCCCGGGTGCAGCTCGCTCTACCTGGGGCTGCCAGGAAACACTGAGTGGCACATTTCCTGTTTGTGAGCTGCTGGTTGTGTTTGTTGCTTGTGACTCGTGTCATGCTGAATTTGGATGGAAATTGGGATTTGGTTAGAAATGCACACAAACAACCTCTTAAAGTGGTCGGGTTTTTTTTTGGAGTACAACGCCTTTTTCAAAAGCACTCAGAGCAYGGGGAAGGAGTTTGCCAACACAGACTTTGCCTTAACTGCAGATTTCAGATTTATCRGGTTTATTGAAAGGCTCCAGCAATAGCAGCAATGACTGGCAGTGATGGGAGAGGGTTTTCTCCTCAGCCCTGGGCAATCACACGGGATCCCCTGTCCGTGCCCTCCCTGCAGTGCTGCCCCAGCTTTGGCTTTGGGAGCTGCAGGAAGCCCTAGGTGGTTTTTGGTGCTGTTTTGGGTCCCTTTCCCCCATTCAGGACTCACCCTCCTTTGTTCTCCCCCAGGAAGCTGCACAGTGGGATGAAGACGTACGGATGTGAGCTGTGTGGGAAGCGGTTCCTGGACAGTTTGAGGCTGCGAATGCATTTGCTGGCTCATTCAGGTGAGCTGGGAGGGGGTGCTGGGCTGGGGCTGGGCTGGGGTTTGCTCTCATGTCCATCCAGGGATGCTGTGGCCATCCAGCTCACACAACTTCTCTTCAACAGACACGTGCACCCTTCCCCGGGCAGCACATTACAAACTTGTTCTCCAGTGCCCAGTAATTTGATTTATTTAAATTTTCTATTTTGGAGTTTGTTTTCAATTCCTTAATTGTGGAAATATTTTCCAGACTAAGCAGCTCAGAATAACAGACTCTACATGCCACGCAGCTGCTCATGGTCAGCCCTGCTCATAGCTTGAGCATTGTTTCCACCTCTGGCCCCAGGTTCGTTAGCAGAACTGCAGAATTAGGCCTCAACTGCCTAATGAATCCAAGTAGCAGGTTCACAGGCTCCAGGGCCTTTAATTAAATAGATAGGGGCTGGAGCACTGCACTGGAGGAAGATTTGTGCTCTGCAGTTCCGTGTCAGCTGATGTTTCCTGTGGGGTGCAGTCCAGGCAGTCTGATGGGAGAACTGGAGATGGACGGGGACTCCTGGACTCAGTTGAGAGTCCTTGTCCTCCTGCTTTGGGGACAGATCTTTGAGGGGTGGCAGGAACTGTAGCCACAGAGCTATTTGCACGTAGCTTGGCAGGGAAGCTGTATTATATTTGAAATGCTTTTATACACTTTTATCTTTTTTTTCACCCATTTTCAGTTCCCCAACCCCCCCACGCCTCTTGTTCCTGGGGTGGGGGTGTGCTGCTTCTGGCCAGGTGCTGCTTTCTGGTTTTTGGGTCAATAAACCCAGCTCTGATCCCATCCTCATCCCACCACTATTTGGGTAGGCATGAGTTCCTCAGAGTGGCTGCAGACAGCAGCAGATTGTGGGGGATGGCCCTGGGATGCTGCTCCCCCAGCTTTGGGGTTAAGGATGTTCCCCCAGCTCTGGGGTTAAGGATGTTCCCCCAGCTCTGGGGTTAAGGATGTTCCCCCCAGCTCTGGGGTTAAGGATGTTCCCCCATCACTGGGGTTAAGGATGTTCCCCCAGCTCTGGGGTTAAGGATGTTCCCCCCAGGTTAAGGATGCTGCTCTCCCCAGCTCTGGGGTTAAGGATGTTCCCCCAGCTCTGGGTTAAGGATGTTCCCCCCAGGTTAAGGATGTTCCCCCAGCTCAGGGGTTAAGGATGTTCCCCCCAGCTCTGGGGTTAAGGATGTTCCCCCAGCTCTGGGGTTAAGGATGTTCCCCCCAGCTCTGGGTTAAGGATGTTCCCCCCAGCTCTGGGGTTAAGGATGCTGCTCCCCCAGGTTAAGGATGTTCACCCAGCTCTGGGTTAAGGATGGTCCCCCCAGTTCTGGGGTTAAGGATGCTATTCCCTCCAGCTTTGGGGTTAAGGATGTTCCCCCATCACTGGGGTTAAGGATGTTCCCCCAACACTGGGGTTAAGGATGCTGCTCCCCCAGGTTAAGGATGCTGCTCTCCCCAGCTCTGGTGCTCACGGTTCATGTTTGTTATGGTCGTGCTGGCTCACAGCCCGTCCCTGGCAGGCAGCCAGCTTTGTGGGTACAGTATGTACAGTGAACGCCGAGCCAAGCTTGTCATCGCACAGGATTAATTTTTTTTCCTTTTTTTTTTTTTGGTAAATCCGGTGAGGACGGCGGGGGGCGGGGAGAGCTGTGCCTCGCAAACAGCCGCTGTGAATTCCAGCGCTGTTATTTATTAAAGCAGGAGACCTTTGCACCTCTTCCCTCGCCTCCCCCCTCCGCCAGCCCTGGACRCAGCAAGGTTGTGCAGGAGCAGTGGTGTGGGGTTTGTGTGCAGCTCTGAGGGCAGCTCTGACTCCACACCAATGGACCGTGGGTTTAACTGGGAGTTTGTGCTGGGGTGGCGTGTGCCCCCTGGCATCCTACTCCAGCCCTGGTGCCAAAAAGTGTTCAAGGGGGTTGATATCTGCAGCTTTACCATAAACCATGGAAGTGTTGATGGTTTAGCTTCCTAATTGAGGCCCTGGCTGGGGCCAGCACTGGGGGCTGTGGGGCTGTGCTGGGGTCTGTGGTTCTGTGACAGGGTGGGCTGGACACACAGCACTGTGGTGCCACAGCCCTGCAGGTGCAGGGTAAATGCTCAGCCCCGTGCTGTCTCTCAGTATAAAGGGTGAATGTAAAGCCCCTGTGCCATGCAAAGTCTGTCCCTGCCTGCCCTGCTGGCAGAGAGCTCTCAGAGGCCTCCAAGGATCAGAGTTGCTCCTGTCCCAGAAATTGTCAGGGAAGGTGAGGTGGCAGACCCTGCTCGTCTGTGCTGTGGTTTGACTGTGCTGTTGGTTTCAGCAGGAGTCTGAGCTGCTCCTCCCTGCATCCAGCCCGGAGTGATGCTCGGTGTGTGCTCACTCAGCCTGGGACACAGGTTACTGAGCTGGGTTTGTTCCCCWGGACAGGAAGGAGAGTGAGTTTCTGCCTGTCCCCCATTGCTCTGGCTCTCCATCCAGCAGAATGTGTGCTGTGGAGATGGCTSAGCAGCCCTTGTCCATCCCAGGCTGGAACTGTGGGAACAGCGACAGTGTGCAGGGATTACCCAAGGGCAGCACGGGGAAATGCAGGCAGCAGCCCTGCAGAGCCCTGGTGTGTGTCCTCACACCCTCCATCCCCACCCAATATCCTCCTTCATCATCAGGAGAGGCAGAAGAGAGCCCCAAGGTGCCACTGGGGAATGGGATTCTGTCCGGGGTTGTGGGGTCCAATGTACGGGTGGCACCTGAGGAGGGAAGGGCACATGGCACCGTCACCTCTCCCTGCCCAGAGGGGCCGCAGAGGGGCTCATCCCGGGCCATTCCGGGTTCCGTGTCCCTTTGTGCAGGGTCTGTGTCCCTCTCCCGGGTGGCTGTGCAGGGTTCTGTGTCCCCAGGGTGGCTGTGCACGGTGGCTGTGCAGGGTGGCTGTCCCAGGTGTCTGTAGGGTGGCTGTGCAGGGTTTGTGTCCCTCTCCCGGGTGTCTGTGCAGGGTCTGTGTCCCTTTCCCGGGTGTCTGTAGGGTGGCTGTGCAGAGTGGCCGTGCAGGATGTCTGTAGGGTATCTGTGCAGGGTCTGTCCCAGGTGTCTGTGCAGGGTGTCTGTGCAGGCTGTCTGTAGGGTGTCTGTCCCGGGTGTCTGTAGGGTGTCCGTGCAGGGTATCTGTGCAGGGTTCTGTGTCCCGGTGTCCGTGCAGGGTGCAGGCTTCTCTCCCCCTGTCCCGGGTGTCTGTAGGGTATCTGTAGGGTATCCATGCAGGGTGCAGGCTTCTCTCCCCCTGTCCCGGGTGTCTGTAGGGTATCTGTAGGGTGTCCGTGCAGGGTGCAGGCTTCTCTCCCCCATCCCGGCCGGTCCCAGCGCTTCCCCGGAGCCCTCAGCCCCCGCCCTGGCCGCCGTCCCGCTCGCTCCGGGTGATGTCAGCGGCTGCCGGCAGGTCTGGATGTTCTGCCAGCGTTCCCGCGTTTATGATCATCCGCAGATGTGCATCCAAGAACACACTGTACCCACAGCAGAAATTAATGCAGGCTTGACTGCCGGCCAAGCCGCGCACACGGGGGAGAGGAAGAAAGAAAACAAAAACTGTTTAATGCTGTTTATAAATTATACACTGGCTGATGAAAAATACATTTCTCTTAACCCCCCCCTCCCCTCCCCTCCCCATCCTCTGCCTCGAGAGCCTAAGCTGAGACCAGAAGAATATGGTTTGCTTTTTAGCTTCTGTTTTGGCCAGGTTCCTGGACCTGGCTGCTGGGYTGAAGCCAGCTTCTTGCTTCTCCCCGCCCTCACCTGATGAAATATGTTTATTTTTTACCCACTGTCTGTCACTGCTGCCTTGATTTGGCCATCGCTTGTTATTGGCATTATTGACGTTATYGATGTGATTGACATTATTGAAGGTGGGGTGCAGAGCAGGGCACCAGGACCCCTCACACACACCCAACACATCCCATGTCCATCCATCTGTCTTCTTCCCTCACARTGTTCGTGGCCATCACTGCCCACCCACTTTCTGCTGGAGGGGGAAACTTCCAAAACTTCCCCCAGGTCGTGGTTCTGGAGAGCCCCTGGCTKGGGCTGGGGGTGAATGGGGCAGGAGCCCCCCCATCCCTGCCCACCCCTCCCCGTGTGCTCGCCAGTCGTTTATGCAGCTTTTGTGTTGTTTTTTTTTTTTTAATACCGCTAATGTTTATCATTTGCCCAACAGGCTTGACAGATTTTGTTTCCTGTCGAGCGGCGGCGGTGGCGAAGCCCCCCCGGTTGCCAAGGAGCCGCCTCCCCGCACCGTCACGGGCTGATTTGGTATTCCGAGCGGCGCCCCGCCGCATTTCTGTATGCAAGACAAAGTGTTTTGATGGAGGACGATTGCAGGAGTGTCTGGAGGCTGTTTGGAGTTTTATGGGCTGTGCAGTACGCGCCGTGCTCGCTCCTGCCAGCCACGGGCTCTGGCGTTCTCTCCCTGTGGAGAGGATGCTGCTGCAGAGAGTGGCACTGGCAGGGCSACAGCAAAGGGGGCTGTGTACAAACCTGACAGTTTGGGCTCCCAAGTTAAAACCTGCAGTTCAATTATTGTTTTTAAATGAAAATGCCCCCTGCTCCACCGGTCCCTGTGCAGGGCAGGAGTTGGTGGCACTGCCTGGCCCAGGCTGGGTGGTGGCACTGCTGGTGACACAGTGACACCCCTCACCCACCCCCGGCCCTTCTCCATCCTTCCAGGTGCTTCCCAAGGGCAGCCCGGAGATGCTGCCACAGAATCCTGCTGGGATGAGTCTCCATCACTCCAGCAATCCCTCCTCACTCTGCAATGCCCACACCTCACTTTTCTGATATGAATTCTTGCCTTTCCGTGGYACTTTGGGAAGCAGGAGCTGAAGCTGACTCTCCAGGCCTGCTCTGCAGCTCTGTCTTTTTTTGGCCCTTCTTGAGTTTCTCTTCTGTATTTTTTTAGCACAAAGGTTTTCATGACTTGTCTCTTCCACTTGGGTGAAACAGGGGAGAAGGGAAATAACGATTAATAAAAATAATAACAAYAATAATAATAATAATGGCAATAATAAAAATCCAAAAATGGCTTGATATGGGCAAAAGAAGAAAACAAGAGAATGGGGAGAGAACAGGCTAAATTTAAAATTGTAATTGGCTGACTTCCACAGGCTTGCGGGTGTTTTAATGACTCATAATAACTTCATTTAAAACCAGCTGAGCAGAAAATAGATTGGAGAGGAGCCTCAGGCCATTATGGATTTGTTTTTTTTTTTTTTGACAAGCTCTGTTTTCGGCAGCCAGGAAGGCACTCGCAGAGGGCTCGGCTGCTGCGCTCCCTGAGTTGGTGGTCTGCCTGGCAGAGATTGTATAGAAACTGGGCTGGCTCTTCTCTTTTTTTCTCTTTTTTTTTCACTGATTAAAAATAGATGCCTTGAGGTATTATTTTAGCATCACTGTGGTTTGGTGCTTTTTTTCTTTGCACTTCTGATGTGGTAAACGGAACATAAATAAAATTGTTTTTGAAATTACTGAATTAATTAGGTAGTAAAGCAGCGGCAATGCATAAATTTACTTGCCATTGTTTTTTTAATCCATATTTCCCCCCCCCATCCCCATCTTCTCACCAATTACAGCCTGTTAATAATATATAATCCYAAATTTTTATTAATCCCTTCTGTTGAGGGAGGGGATGTCACATTGCACTGGCAGGGCCATTTCCAGATCCTCCCCCACCACTCTCCTCACCCATTTCCCATCTTCCTCCTCCCTTAACCATCTTCCTCCTCCTCCTCCAGAGGATGCTGGCAGTCCCTCTTTTTCCTTTATTCCTTCTCTTTTCCTGAGTGGAGTTCAGAGTGCCTCTCCCGCAGCCACTCGGCCTCCAGCCCCGCGGAAGTTTCTCCTCCCCAATAAAGTAATTCAGTGATGGGCATTGGGAGGGGCTGTTGGGGTCCTGGTGGCTGTAACAAGATGACTTCTGTCATGCACCAACTGAGCTAAAGTGGCTGGAGGGAGCTCAGCCCTTCCTGTTGGTGATCCATGGGCATTCCACTCCCAGGAGCCACCAAACATCCCAAAAACCTGTTACCTCACATTTTTCGGAGGGAAAATTAAATAAGAGAATCGTAGAACCATTAAGGCTGGAAAGAACCTCCAAGATGATGAAGTCCAACCTGTGTTTTTCCCCTCCTTGTGGTTTTGCTGGGGGCACTGCAGACCTGAGCAGCTCCAGCCCTGTTTGGGGGCTCGTGGGGCAGGGATGACTGCGTGGATGGCACTGCATGGAACGAGCAGCAGCTCCTCACCCGCTCACACCAGGGACCTTTATTAGGCAGGGGCTATAAATTTCCTTGTGCAGATATAAATGTACAGCAGAGGGGTTGGTGCCAGCAGCAGGGCTCGCGCCGAAACACGGCCGATACTTGGCAGCACGCGGAGTCCCATCCCATCCCATCCCATCGAGGAGATCATCCCCAGATATCATCCCCACATATCTATATATCGTAGGTGATGCAAGGCGCTGGCTAAATATACCCTGCCCAAAGCTGAGCGTGCATTCGAGAGGCTGATGGTTTCTGTTTAAAGCAGGAGAAAGGCAAGGGGGGAGAAGAGAGCCCTGCCATGAGCTCCACTTTCCAGCATGTCCTGCTCCCTTTCATAACAAACAGCAAGCCGTGGTGGTTTTTTTTCTGAGCCCTGTTATAAGAAGCTGAGATGTTGGATGACATTTTTCCCGGTGACTCACATAGTAAAATTAACCTTGAACTATTTACATATTCAATCGCCGCCTTCCTCCTCCTCCTCCCCCTCCCCGCCGGCGTGTGTACATAAAAGGAAATCTGGCTCCGCATCAGGGGTGGTGGTGCGGAGGAGAAAAAAAAAAAAAAAAAAAGGCAGAAAAAAAATTCCCCCCGCCTGGAGTACACATCTACTTGAGGGAAAGAACACGCAGTCCTGGCCTTTGGAAATTGGCAGGCGGCGTGCTGTTCCCGCGCTGATAAGAGGTACTGTAAATAAAACTGTACGGCAGCGCCTGCTGTAAATGCCCCGCGTCTGTACTCATTGTTCTGACAGCTCCGGCTTTTTTTGGGTCCGCTGTTTTGGTACACACTGTGCTTCCTTATGTAAGCCAGTGCACCCGGCTCCTCCCTGCATTTGCCCTGTTTATTTTCGCCTCGCCAGGAATTTTTCCTGCCCCCCCGCCGCCCCCCAGCCAGATGCCGGCCGCCTTTGCCTCGCCGGGCTGTGCCTCCTGCAGCCCCTCTGGCCACGGCTTGTGGAGGGCACGGGCACGTCTCTGCTCCCCACCGATCCCACTGGGAAATGGGGAAGGGAAGAGCAAAGCCCGTGTTTAACAGGACTCTGCTGTGTGTCAGCCTGGAGATGCAGCAAACCCCGCCAAGCACAGGACCCCGGCATTGCCCAGGGAGGGGCACACCCCAACCCCGCAAAAAGCACAGGATCGTGACATTGCTGATGTACAGCCCAGGGAGGGGCACACCCCAATCCCCCCAAGCACAGGACCCCCGGCATTGCCCAGGGAGGGGCACACCCCAAACGCTGCTCTGCCCAGGACCCCCGGCATTGCTGATGTACAGCCCAGGGAGGGGGCACACATCAATCCCCCCAAAAAGCACAGGACCCCGGCATTGCTGATGTACAGCCCAGGGAGGGGCACACCCCAATCCCCCAAAAAGCACAGAACCCCGGCACAGCCCCAGGGAGGGGCACACCCCAATCTCCCCAAGCACAGAACCCCTGGCATTGCCGGTGCACAGCCCCGGGGAGGGTCACACCTCAGTGCTGCCCTGCCCAGCGGGGACCTGTTGCTGCCAGGTTGCTGCATCCTCACAGATGGTGGGTTGCATCCTCTCGGATCACACTTTGCTGCGATGAGGCCGGCAGAGCTCCGAGTGCTGATGGAGAGCCATTGCCTTGGCAACTGCTGGCTGCATTGCCCGCCCCGTGTGCCGAGCGAGGGCAGCCCCCGCCGCTGCCCTATTGATCCAGCCTCGCCACCCCATTCGGCAGCTTCTCCCCATCCCGGCAGCTTCTCCCCATCCCAGCACCTTCACTGCTCCTCTCCCTGCTCTGCTGAGCGGGCACCGCTGGCACTGCCCCCATCCCGGGGATCCCCACATCCCTGGCAGCACCCGGGCATGCAGTCCCTGGCTGGGGCAGGGTGAGGAGCCACCCCGGAGCACCCCGAGTTTGGCTGTGTTTGCTCCTCTCCTCTCCTCTCCTCTCACGGCCCAGGTGCTCTCAGGTTGTTTTGAATGCAAACTTGACATCGCGGCGAGGGCGGCGGGGAACAACATATGCACAGTAAACAGGCAGACTGTCATATTGATTAACAGATGAGACYGCTATTATCGATCAGCTCTTGGCGAGAAAATTTATCACTTTTAATTTCACCGCTGCCAAATATTTCTGCCTGCGAGCCAGCCGTTACTGAGACAATTTAAAGGCAAAGGAATTCTCTTTTCAATGCGTCTCATGATACCTCTCCCTGTTGCCCTCTGTACTGATCTTTCCCCAAATGCCACCCCAAGGGTTGGACAGACGGCTCGGTGGGGTGGGAAGGAGGGCAGAGGGGCAGTGTGGACCCCTGAAAATGGGCAGCACAGCATTCTGCAGGGCAGTGCACATTCAGCTCCTCACAACAGATGAATCAAACCTTCAAATCTAAGAAATGGGGCTGTGGCTTTGTCCCGCAGTGATGCTGTTGGATATGGTGTGTCATTAATCTGGTTTCATCTGGAAGTTACTTATCTGCTCCTGGGCATCCTGYRTTTTTCCTCACCCAAGCTAGCAGCACATGTTGGTAGTAATTTCCTAAGATTTGCCCAAGTCCCACATCTCTTTCAATAGTCAAAGATGCCTCAATCTTGCTCAGTTGCCCCATTCCAGCCACATCCCTGMTCAGGTGCATCTTTGGGTACCGRCAGCAGCAGCCACGATGGGAAGGGACAGGAAACCAATTACAATCGGATCAGTTACAGTGCTAATGAAATGCATTGGTATCTCATGACTTAAAAAAAATAATAATAATCTTTTCCTGGCAAGCAGCTCTGTATTTTGCTGTGTTGTGCAAGGAAYGGGAGCACAGGGCTGAATGAGGCACTTCTTTTGCTGTCTGCACAGGGGACGTTAAACACGAAACCCCTCCATGGCACTGCTCCTGCAGTGTCCATGTGCACATTCAGCTGTGTCTTTCTGCCCCTGGAATAACCTTCCTGTCCCTTTTGTCTCCCCAGCAGGTGCCAAAGCGCTGGTCTGCGATCAGTGCGGTGCCCAGTTCTCAAAGGAAGATGCCCTGGAGACGCACCGGCAGACGCACACTGGTATGTGGCACACCTTTCACTTGGGACAGGGTTTAACATTTGGGCTGCCTTTGTCACCCTTTGCCCAACAGAGAGCTGGACCCTCCACAGTTCTGCCTCTGCCCAGCCCAGGCAGCCCCAGCTCCTCTTGCACTGGGTGCATTTCCATTACTCCATTGCTCAGCATTAACGTGACAAACAATGGCAGAACAAACATTCGGTGGTTTGTCCCCTCTGCGAGCAAAGCTCGTCCCTGTCCAAACACCTCTGAGAAATTGGCTTCTGACACGTTTCTGCTCTGGCACTTCCCAGCCCYTCGGCAGTGCCACCAGCAGCAGCACGAGGATTTCTTTCTGCCTTTTGCAAAGTCCATCGTGCCTGGGTGAGGTTTGCTYGGGGAATCACATCCTGCAGTCCCGGGTGGAGCCCTTCACCCTCCAGATCCGGGCTGGAGGCAGGGCAGAGCGCCTGCTCCTCCTGGGCTATATCAGGAGCGGTTTAACTGAGCACAGTTCGTCTTTCAGTGCTGAAAGCCCTGATAAATGCCACTGGCACTCAGTCTGTGCTCAGGGCTTCACACCAGAGGTGCGAGGATTGATGCAAAGTGCTGTGTCACCGGGCGGGAATGGCTGCGGCCGTCACCCCTCATGGAGCTGTGCTGGCCCAGCACCAGTCCATAAATCCTCAAGTACTTGCCCTCCCTGTCCAGAGCCATCCTGCTGGAGGCTGAGTTTGCCATTCCAATCTGTTTGGAAAGGCTGGGTGCTGTGGACTGAGGAGGAGGAGGAGGGAAGGCCATGCACAGTGAGGGACTGACTGCAAAGGGCTGAGCAGCCCAGGGGGTTCAAAGTGGCTGCACAAACAGCAGCTCGTTCCCCCTGTGCTTCTATTTCCCAACCACTGAGGTTACCCTGGAAGCCATGGAGCTCAATGGTGCCTGCACCCAGAACTGTCCCACAGATGCAGAGCAGTTTGGCTCACAACCCTGACACTCCTGTAGGAATTAAACCCCTTTGGCTGGTGAATCCTTGGGGCTGAACTATCCCAGAGCTCAAAGGGCAATGGGCAACCAGAGCAGGGGACGCAGTGACCCAAGGAGAGCTTGTCATCACTGCCCTTGGCTGTAAACATGGCAGAGCGGGGCTGGGTGGCCAGGGCAGCTTCCTCTCTTCTGCTGGCACAGAAAGCATCCCTCCCCTCACTTGCTATAATTAATCATCTTCCCAATAACAGCATCTCCCAGAATGGATTTGTTTTGGGTGTCATCCCTCTTAGCTCTTTGCTCCAKGCTGGCTGGCAAAAGACCTTTCAGCTTTCCAGGTAAAAGAAATGTGTAGCCCTTTTTGGTGGAGAGGCAGGTGTAGTCCTTCTGGGATGGCATCAAAAGCTGAGCAGGGTGTCTGGTGCAGGCTGTCCAAACCCACCCATCGCTCAAAAACCGTGTTCAGAGGAGATGTGGGGCTTGTCTGCAGGCAGTCACTGCTTCCCCACATAACCTACAGCTCTGGAGCTTTGTGCAGCAGAGGAAGGSTTCTGGGGTTTCATTTCAGCACACAGGGCTGTTTCTCAGGTGTGCTGTCAGCACCCAGGACCCCCTTTGTGTTATTTCTTTCCCCACTCCCCTCCCTGCTGCTTCAAATGACAGTAACACAGAGCCAGACTGTTGTACACGTACTGCAYCAAGCATTGCTCATCTCCACAGCGGAAAACTAACACCCCACTTCCTGAGGCAAGGCAAAAAGCGAGAATAAACACAAAAATGTGGTTCCTGCTTGTAAACAGGGCGCTGGCAGTGCTGTGTGCAGCCCCACGGACGCGGGGCTGAGACGCCCTCTCCGGGTGTGCGCTGTCCTTGGCCCCCGCTCTGCCGCAATCGGAAAAGCAGCGACTGTTCTGCTCCTCTTCCAGCAGCACAGGCTTGGAGCTGGAGGGGAGAGCGTGGAAAATTCCTTCCCCTTCTCCTCAAATGTAGAGGRAAAAGCAGAATGCATGGAGATAGCAGCCGAGCACCCCCCGGCAGCACCGCTGGGAGTGGGGATGTGCACACGGGCTGTGCTCGTGCTGACGGCTTTTGGGCTCGTGCCGACGTTTATAAATATCAGAGGTGACTTGTCTCGAGTTCCCTGCGTGTGCCAAGGCAGTTAGCACACGGCAGCCRCTGTCAGTCAGCAGGACAGCGTGGATTTGCTCCTGACCCAATTTCACATGGGCATGATCGACACCCAGGGCAGAGGGTGTTTGCTTGGGCGAGTTGTTGGCTCTTTGRTAGTGGGGTTGGTGTGCCCTCGGTCCTTTGGGACCTTTCACCCTCCCTTGGCCRCATCCCCTGGGAGCGTTCCCGTCCCACCCATTCTTCATCCTTCATGTGGCTCGTATCCTCTGCCCTGAGACACCAGCAGCAGAAAAGAGTTAATAAAACCAACGTGTAAGTGAAAATTGAAAAGCTCTATATCTTCCCCCCTTTCTTCCCCCCCGTTTTTTTTCTTTTGCTGGGATGTTGGTAGCATTTTGATTTAATAGTTGGCCAAACACAAGGGTCTATTTTATTCAGAGTTTACAGGCCTCAGGGCTGTTATTCCTCCAAATTTAATAGCATTGAAATTGCAGGGTTGGCGATAATTTGCCTATCACTTTCTGCTCTCCCATTGATGTTTATTGTCAGCGGGATGGAATCTCAATCCGATTCACTTAGATAACATGTCTGTTAAACATTTAGATAATTGTGCCATCATTAACTTGTCACATTATTTTAGAGATTCAAAACAGTCGTGCAGTACAAGCGGAGGTACAAAGGGAGAAAAATCTGGCGTGTGAGAGCAGGAACCCAGGAGTGGTGGAAGGATTTCCCCATGCTGGGTCCCATGGCAAGTGTTGCTCGATGGCCACACAGAGATTTTAAATTTTTTTAATTGTTTTTGTCTAATATGCCAGAGTTGTCCGTGTTTTTCCATGGAAGAGCATCCCAGCAACCCCGTCACTGGCTTGGGTTTGCCAAGGGGTGCGTGGGASCCTGGAGGAGGTGGAGGGGGCATTGCACCAGAGCTGCACTGTCACACGGGCACATGCCACCCCTGTTCTTGGCAAATGTACATCGGGTCTAATTTATTTCGTATTTGTCATATCTCCTTGTGTCTGCTTGGCTTYCTCTGCCCCAAAAATGGTTCCAGCCCAAAAACTGGCAGCAATGCTGCAGATGAATGGCACGCTGCTTCTCCCAGTGTGAAAATGAGGCATTTTGAGCAAGTGGAACATAGCACATGAGTTTGATGATGTGAGCCATAAATCACMTTGAAACGTGAATCCTGTTTGCCTCACACTCAGCGTGGCACTGCGATTTATGGTCAGGCCAGTGCTCTGCTGGGATGCTGGCATGACTCTGCTGTGGCTGGGCTTGTCTCAGTGGTGCCACTGCCATGTGTAATGTCCCTGCTCCAGCACCAGATTTGGGAGATGCTGTTTGTGGCTTGTCCTGCTGCATCCTCCTCGACAGCTTGGTCAGAGCAGTGCCTGGCTYGAGCAGCTGGCACATTTCCTTACCAAAACCAACCTGGCATCTACCTGGGCTTCCTGTGACTTTCTCTTACCATTTCACAGGACTCAGGAGGGTTTTCTAGAGCAGCCCAAGGAGGCTTCAGGGGGAAATACCTCTGGATGATGCTCTTCTCTATAGCTGGAGGGGATAACGCACTGTAGTGTTAAGTATGCTCAGGGTAATTATCCCTCCTGTGCTCACCTCGGCTGCGCAGCCCCAGCTGGGGGAGGGAGCWCCATCGATGCTGTTCTGGGATGGACAGTCCATGCTGAGCAGATTTTCTGGTGGGTTTTGGACGCTCAGGTGCCAGCCCAGCTCACAGAGGGTCTGGGGCAGCGGGTCCTAAGGGCGCAGCACAGAGCCCCTTTGTCTGACAGTAATGTCCTGTGACAGCGCTTGAAATYTGAGTCCTGGCGTGCATTCCTGCACGGGAATCTCCCTGCCTCCCAAACCACGGCTGCTTCTGCCACCTTGACAGCAAATGGCAGCCAGAATTCCCCGTGCTCCRAGGTGCACCCATGGGGAAGTGTGTKGTGATGAGGCCAGGGGTTGTGCAAGCTGGTGGATTCACCAAAACAAGSGAGGGAACGTGGCAGAGCCATGCAGCCGCCATGGCATCGGGGCCAATGGCCCGCCTTTAATTTTCCTGTGCAAATACTATTTAAACGCGATGAGAAAAGCCCTCTCGCTAAGCTACGGAGAAATCTTTCTTGTCCTTTAATTCTAGATGAAGGGGATTAGTGTGAACATATTTAACCTCTGACCCGTGGACAAAAGCATTATCAAATTTAGTTGCCAAGTGGTTCCCCATTTAACCAAACCAGTGCGGTATCACAGCAAGTTTTCTCCCTTCCCTCCCTTGAAAGGTTTTACATCCTTTGTTGCCCTGAAGCACCAGAGGGACTGGGCAGCTTTCCTGTGCTGGCACTCCTGTGCTGCTCAGAGCCCCAGAAGGAACACACCATGACATGGCATTCACTGCTACAGCCTGCAAAGGCTTCAGAAAGCCAGCCCCAAAAAAAGCCAAGCCTTCTGTGGATGGGGCTGGTTTGTCCCTGTTTCTGCATGGCCAGCTCAGCGCTGTGGTGGCACCGAGGATGCTTGGCTGTCCCTCCAGAGCACAGAGAGCACAGAGAGTGTCCCTGTCACCCTTTAGTCCGGAGCACGAGGGATCAGCCTTGGCCAGCTTGAGGATGCTCGGCATTTCCATGCTGAGCTTTATAAAAGAGGGATGAAACGCGGTGTGAGAGGGGCCGGGGTCCCTGGTCCAGCRCAGGAATGCCGAGAGGGGCCTCCCGTCGGAGCCGGTGTCCGTTTACAGTGCATCTCTCATAAACCCGGCGGCGGGGGCGAGGGCAGGGGGACCGGCCCTCCTGGTATGTGATTGATTATCTGGTATTTATGCCATTGAGGACTTTTCAGCGGCTCGGGGTCAGGGGGTCATCTCATGTGTCTTGCTGCAAATCCGCTTCCTTTTGTACAGTGCGGG